CAAGATGCACTTAAACTTTGTCCAGAGGATATTAAGGAAGAAACATATTTTTATTATCTATTAAATTTACTGGCTTCTAGTCAATATCAAAGATGTTGATTTTATGCTGCTGATGTCCTATTGGTATGTGAATTTCCAGCAATATAGCAGGGATCCATTTGAGGAAAACAAGAGAGCAATTTTTACATAGGTCACAGCTGAGAAAAATACTAGTTGTGCTGAAGCAATTTCTTCAGCAGCATGAAACCATGTGTGTGTTATATGGAACAATGACCTTGGAATTCATCTCTAGATTTGTTGTTTAATCTCAGAAGCAATATTTTAAAATGACCATTGTAAGAAAATGTATAACAGGTATATTAGTCTTTAGAAAGTAGAATTCCAAATAATCAGCAAGGAAATTCCCAAAAGGTACGATATGAGCATAATGTTGTGGTGCCTATAATTCAAATTATATTTTGAAAATTCTAATACCAGACCAAAACCCACCGCACTTTGGGTAAATACATCCTATTTTTGTTGGTGCTGGGAAAGAGAAAATAAATTCTATCATTTGCCTTTCCCAGGAAATGGAACCAGGCCACTTTTTATTATTAGACAGTCCAAAAACATCAAGGCAGAGGCCAGGATTTTGGACCCATCAAGCCAGATATAGCCCACCAGCCATGTATGGCAGCCTACAACAGAGTGGTGATATTTTTGTTTGTTTTGCCGAACAAGTCTATTGTAGGACTGTATATACCAAATTTTAAATTGTTGTGTTATTTGGGATATACAGATGAGACCTTTAGCATTTGTTGTGCTTTTAAAAACAGCTTCAACGTCTCCACTCCCCAAAAAAACCCCCGTGTTTGTTTACATTTATTTCCTCAGCTCAGTGGCGTAGCGTGGGGGGTGCAGGGGGGGCCGGCCGCACCGGGTGCAACATCTGGGGTGGGGGGCGCGCTCGCACTCGCAGCTCTCTGCCCCTACTAAAATCAACGGGTTAGGGGGCGCAAATTACTTGCCTTGCCCTGGGTGCTGACAACCCACGCTACGCCACTGCCTCAGCTTTATTGTTCCCAGGCTACTCAGCAGCTATTTCCAGAACAATTATCAATATTGGATTAATAAGGTCCACTGTGCTGCTCATATTCACAAATTGGTTGTTTGTGTTGTCTGTTTATTTTGTTTGGTGTTTTTGTTTCCCCACAACAAGGAGAACAAATCACTTTTGTCTGCATGAACAGGAAAGTGCAAATCAAGTTGTCACTCTCAAATAGTATTATGGACATACAACGAAAACATGTCCTCTAAATAATGCCATGCTACACTGGATCAGCAAATGATTTACGGATACACAGAGAATTTGAAATTGGTTTCTAATCATAACACATCCCATTATTTTAGGCAGGGATTTATATGAGAATTATCTTCCCTTCAATGTAAGATTCTGTTAAAACAACAACACAATTGTCACTAATTTCATACTTAACTTTAGGTGGTCTTACAAAATACACATTTAACAAGCCACCTTTCATTCTCTTAGCAATGTATGATCAAAATCTGAGCCTTTCTTGTATAAGAACCTCTGCCCTGTTTAACAAGCCCTTGTTTGCAAGGCGAGGAAGTTTATTTTTGTCCATATTCTCCAAAGTGGTCAGCTCATGAGTTGCAAAACATCTGGCAGAAAATAGAGAAATATCCTCAGCTTTACACCTTTTGAGGACATTTCCAGGTACTTATTGTTTTCTCTCTGCATGACGCATTTAGCAGCATCCAACATACTTTTGATGCTGTCACCTTTTCCTATGCAGCACACACTCTGTTTGCTTCTTGTGCAACATAAATATGGCTATTTTTCTTTACATGTTTTGTCTTAGTCTGCCTGGAGATTTCTGCTTGTTACACCACAGTGATTTATGGTTTATGCTCCACATATGAAGGATGCTGTTCATTAAGTAAGTGCTGAAAGTCCACTTAGAAGTAATCCAGTATACCTCTAGTGCAGGCATAGGCAAACTCGGCCCGCCAGATGTTCTGAGACTACAATTCCCATCATCCCTGACCACTGGTCCTGCTAGCTAGGGATCATGGGAGTTGTAAGCCAAAAACATCTGGAGGGTTGAGTTTGCCTCTAGTGCGTTAGTTATAAAGTTTATGTTTTCTTTTTGTTTCCAAAGCAGCCTGCTATTTTAATTCTTTAACTGAAACCTTCAGAATGTATGAAAATCAGAAGTCTAAAGTTGACTGACTTGATGTATAGTTTGGGACTTGTATTACTCATGTGTAACTAGCTTTAAATTTACATTTGCTTAGTCATAGCCATTTAAAATCAAACCAAATGAAGACTGTTGATACTGTAAGGCAGAGTTTTCCATATTGTGTGTCATGCAAACGTTTCCCATGCTCTTCCCGGGGCTGGAAAGGGGTTAGTTCAATTTCTGGTTTGCTAGTAAAACTGAATTACTGTGTCACAAAATGATACATGGCTAAAAAGTGTGTCACCAACATGAAAAGTTTAGAAAGATCTGCTGTAAGGTAAGCACCCTGCCAAGCTTTGCAAAACTTATTAGAGCTTGCATGGTAGAGGTACTTGATTGGCTATACTCATTATGCCTACTTTAAGCATTGGGAGAAATGTTTAATCCATGGGTAGGCCAACTAAGGCCCGGGGGCCAGATCCGGCCCAATCGCCTTCTAAATCCGGCCCGCAGACGGTCCAGGAATCAGCGTGTTTTTTACATGAGTAGAATGTGTGCTTTTATTTAAAATGCATCTCTGGGTTATTTGTGGGGCATAGGAATTCGTTCATTTCCCCCCCCCAAAAAAAAAATAGTCCAGCCCTCGACAAGGTCTGAGGGCCCTCTGCTGAAAAAGTTTGCTGACCCTTAATCCAACTTTTTGCCAATGCTAGCTGGGGTTTATGAGAGTTGTCATGCAAAAAATCTGTACAGCAACAGGCTGGCAGAGGCTGGATTAGTCAATATTATAAATTTGTAAGATGAAGTACACGTTAATAACCTTCATTCAGCTGACAGTGACCAGTTCCTTACTTATGCATAATTTTGAACTGTCTCCTGCCTCTATTCAGGAGATTTCAAGGTGGTGGCAGTGACAATTTAAAATAAAGGTAGCATCTCTTGAGTCCACACCACGATGCAGAACAGTATGTAACTTCAATACACAGAAATAAACCAAAGACTGATCTGTAATGTCATTTGAAATCCCTTTACTGGGCTGCATCATTATGTGGAGAGGAAGAACAGTAAAGTTTGGACTTGTATTATGTCTGCTGTATTATTCTCACAAATCTTTTAGGCTGCAACAACCATAATTTTTCACCATCCCACACTGACTCATAAGTGTCCTACCATGCTCCAAACAAGTGACGTTATTAATCTGTTTATAACATTTATTTCGCTATTCCTCAGTACAAGGGATCTAAGAGTGGTGCACAATAAAATACCGGTACCAACAATAAAGCATTGTCAGCATAAAAAATGTCAGTAACAAAACAATGCTGGCTGTTTGACCGCAATAATAGACATTCATTCATTCGTTTATTAACAAAGCAACTTATCTTACACGTGTGTCATGTTGCAGCTGGCAAATTCCTCATCAAAGAACAACATGGCATCCCCAGGATTATACCAAGCCCTGGATCAGGTTCAATCTAGGGGTGAGGAGTCAGGATCCATAAATAAGGCAGAGGAAGGGCAAGAAAGAAACTTGTCTCATCTAGAGAGGTTAACTGCAGACAAGGTCTCCTTGGGAATAAGGCCCTCTTCTCAAGGAGACATCTTGATGAAGATAGGTGATAGGAGTCACCTGAGGTCGGGGTGTGTTTTAGCAGCTCCAGCTCAAAAGTCCCACTGCTAGGCTGGAACATCAGCTGGAACAATGTCTTTGTACCAACATTATGCTTTATCAATCTCCTGCCTCCTAGTCAGAACCTGACCGTGGATTGCCCGTGACCTGTCTCATGCATTCTTCCAGAGTACTATTTATAAAATTAATCTATCGTGTGTACAGTCGTACCTCGGGTTACAGACGCTTCAGGTTACAGACTCCGCTAACCCAGAAATATTACCTCGGGTTAAGAACTTTGCTTCAGGATGAGAACAGAAATCATGTGGCAGCAGGAGGCTCCATTAGCTAAAGTGGTACCTCAGGTTAAGAACAGTTTCAGGTTAAGAATGGACCTCCAGAATGAATTAAGTTCTTAACCCGAGGTACCATTTTATTCCCTTCTTTGCCCACGGGACAATTGGAACATGACGCTGGAGGACCCTGATCTTGCCATTTGCCTGACCCCCTCGTTTTGGACTCTGATTACTCAGACCCTGACCTTGAATCTACCCTGCAAACTGTTGCTGTTTTTGCCCATGCTGGTCTTGCTGCTGAAAAGTACCGCAAGTGTTCAGGAACTTAGTGAGAAGAGGACAGCACACCTAAACATCTTTATAACCCTCGGGTAGGCAAACTAAGGCCCGGGGGCTGGATATGGTCCAATCGCCTTCTCAGTCTGGCCCGCGGGCGGTCTGGGAATCAGAATGTTTTTACATGAGTAGACTGTGACCTTTTATTTAAAATGCATCTCTGGGTTATTTGTGGAGCATAGGAATTTGCTCATTATTATTTTTTCAAAATATAGTGTGGCCCACCACATGGTCTGAGGGATAGTGGACCGGCCCACGGCTGAAAAAGGTTGCTGGCCCCTGTCATAACTGGCCCCCCATTTTATTACATGTTTGCATGCGGTGATTGGCCCTGAGTAGGCCATGCACAACAAGAAACATCCAGCATATATCTGGGGAACCCTTCCCAAAGCAACCAAAGAAAAAAAGACTTGCTACTTTCCATAATTGATTATTTGAAAGAACTGTTTACAGGTAGGTAGCCATGTTGGTCTGCCATAGTCAAAACAAACAAACAAACAAACAAAATTCCTTCTAGTAGCACCTTAGAGGCCAACTAAGTTTGTTATTGGTATGAGCTTTCGTGTGATTTTTTTTTTTAAAAAAGAACTATGTTTTTGTTACCATGGTTTTGGGGAAAACTATATATTGCATGCCAATCCATATACAATCGCCGCCCCTCTCATTTTTTCTTGCTAAAGAAACAGTGTGGGGTATTCTGTAGAGTGATTATTATCTTATTCGTATCTTTTGAGAGATTTGATTTCAGTCTTTGGAGAGTGAAGAAGCTGACGCAAACAAGAGAGCAAAATTATTTCTGATAACATGCAAAAAGCTGCATTCATGAAGCAGTAGTAAAGAGTGTAATTTCCCAACCAATTACATTCCCTGAATGCTCCTTTAAACTACTGTCAGGGAGAACAAGTTTAAGCATCTCAAAAATAACTACCTAATGATGAGGGAAATAACTCTTGCAGAAAATTAATATCTATAGTGTTAAGCCATAATTCTGAAATGAAAATACAGGGCAAATGTCATCATTGAATTCTATACAAATTGTAAACTAATGAAGCACTTCTTATCCAAGGGGTAAGCTTTTATATTCGGGGTAGGGTTAACTAGCATGCTTGGACAAGAGGCTCCGAACTCAATTCCTGTGGCACTATGTGGGCAGGACTATAAATGTTCATCACTCGTAGACAACACAACCCTTTTGCAGGGATATTGCAAACCCTGTGTCAGTTCACTGAACAAGGGGGTCATCTGGAGCTCTGGCCCAATCCACTCAGGCCCCGCAACCAGAAAAGACCTCAGAGGTACATGAAATCACAAGCTGGAAGCAACTCTTCCAGCAACAGTTCTGGCAACACTCACCAGCCATGGACCATGCATTTGTAACAAGCTTAACATTACAGTCAAACCTCGAGCTGCGTTTGCTTCACATTGCATTTTTTCAGGTTACGAACGCAGCAAACCCGGAAGTGTTTACTTCCGGATTCGCCGCTTTGTGCATGCGCAGGAGCGCTCTATCGTGTCACACGCACATGCAGAAGCTGCGCTCTACTTACAGACTTTTCAGGGTGTGAACGGCACCCCAGAACGGATCGCATCTGTAAGTAGAGGTACCACTGTATATCCATCTGACACTACAACCTGTTGGATTGTTGAAGGGCCATTCCAAATCTGACAACTGCTAATATAGCCAAGTTGCAGGTCTGATCTCTCTTATACATAAGATAAGCTTCCCCCAGCCCACTTTTCCTGCTATTTCTGGCATCTGGTTGTAAGAAGCTGAGCAACACCTGTGAAAAGAAGCATGAGGGCAAGTCAAGTCATGGAGCAATCCCTCTTGTAGCCTAGAATAATGTCATTCCTAGAATCTGAGCCTGCCAAATCTGCTTTGGATCTGATTCAGCAAAGCTGAGCAATATGCCAGCCACAAAATTGACTTGAACGCACTGGGAAACCTGGTGGAATCAAAAGCTTGCAACTACTCTAGGATAATAATCAAATTCATATTGTGACCTCTTAACAGCAGACATTTTGCTACCATTTCACATTATACAGAAACATGCTCCTCTTGAGAAGAATGGAAAAGCAACCCCTGACATAATCAAAGCTTATTAGGATTTTTGACATTTATAAACCTCTAGCATTGACCACATAATTCCTGGGATAAAACTGCCTGCTGCTGATAACTGAGAAGCCTTTTTTACCCCCTCTTCCTCAATTTGAATTGCTGCTTGCAAACAAATTTCAATGTGCCTGTGTGTGTACACAAAACAAATATAAATGAATTAGCTTTCAGATGTTTGGGACAGAATCCAAGATAAAAATAAGGAATTTAAAAAGTAAAAGGAAATGATGGCTTGCAAATGTTTAGAAACATTTCATGCCATTAAGGCTGATTAGAGTAATACACCTGTCCTTGCATTGGAGGCAAACTCTGAGAATAAACCAACTACTACGGTGTATATATAAATGTTAGAATTCCTGCTCCATGATTGCAGTCATAGGATTTTTGTCTTTCACATGACGGTATATGTTTTGACTCCACAGAGTGGGAAGTGACGAAGACAGGATGTTTGTGTTACTGTGTTCCATGAAGTGGGACTATTGCCCTTTGTTCTTTTTCTCTTTGCTGTCTGATGCTAGATAGAGAGGGAGCCATGTTGCACTGTTCCGTGTGTGTTTATATGTAAATAAAGTAGATTAGCTAAAATGCTGAGTTGCTGAGGTCTGTTACGCAACTGTGCAAACTCTGTGGACCCCTAAGTGTGCCGGTGTCGATTGGCATCGGTCGCTGTGATGTTCGGGCAGGAGAAAGCTTTTGAAGCTCCCGAATGATCGACCAAGAAGGAGGGAACATGCCAGTCGGGCATGTGTCTCTGCCAGAGTCCTACTCGAGTGTAGGCTGAACTCCTGACAATAAATACCTAAACAAGATACATACTTGGATTAAATCTAGGAGATATTTGGTTACTTTGTGAATTGTCAATCACATGGAAATATTCGTTCTAAAATAATAATAATAATAAAAATTACCTAACAATTATCTCTGAAAGACAGTTTGCCCACCATTGTTGGTATTCCTTGAAATGTGCAACCACCTGAGAGAGCATAGTATGTTTAGGGACACTCTTTCCTCACATAGGTCAACAACAAGCCTGAACAACACATCAACGGGAATGGGTGTGCATATCAGAATAATAATTTCCTAGAACATAGAATGTCCACGGATCAGACTAATTAATGTGGATAGGGTTCTTGTGAAGGTTTAATGTTTGCAAAGTATGGCTATAAATTGTTCACGGAAGACTTAAAAGAGATGTAGAAAACGCAGATATTTAGTATGTGAATGCATACTGTAGCTCTTCTATTCTGCTGCAAATTCTAAGGGTTTCCCTCCCCCATAACCTTATGTTATGTGAAGTTGGTTTGCTTTTCATTTTAATCTTCAAGCTGCTTGACATTTTTTAAAATAAAGGATCCAACAGCATACATGCAGCACATGCACACACACACACACACATATATGCATGCAACATCTATCTCTATTTCCATTACAGCAATTTCCTGCATCCAACAAGCTTTCAAATTCAGCCTCATCTCCAAGTCAAGTGCTGAGTACTAATGTAGTTAAGAGCATCAAAAACAAAGAAAACAACCAGGTAAGTCCCAAATGTTCACAGGCCTACAAGGCTAAAAACAAACTGTGGCTACAGCTGGTGGTTTTTCTCAAGTAAGACAAACCATAAGCCTGGGTTCAGACATAATAATGCTAGGTCAAACCATAGCCTAGCTTTGGGTACAATGGCAGAAGCAGGAACGAGGAAGAGATGCATAGGCACAATTTTCCCTCCATGTACTCACACACTCACTCATTCAAGCTTACTAATAGTTTGGCTTAGTATTACCACGCCTATGGTGATCATGGTTCTTGTGGATTTAAAAGTATGAAGTCCAGTCCTCAGCAGATTCTCTTGGAAGTAAGTCAATAAGTTCAATGGCCTCACAGAATTGCAGCCACGGACATTCATTTCCTATTGTTACATTGAAAACTTGAGTTTTTAGAAGCTTAAAACCTAGCAAGTAAATCCAATGAGAAACGAAAAGAGACTGTTTCATGATTCCCTCTTTTACAAGTGAGGGCTTAGTTTGGGCTTATGTTTCATACTTACTCCATACTATCTTTGAGCTCATTAGGAGTTTTGGCAGGCAGTAAAGAAAATGGATACCAAAGTTTATGTATGCATAGCATTTATGGGTAATAGTGCCCCACGCGGGTGGCGCTGTGGGTTAAACGACAGAGCCTAGGGCTTGCCGATCAGAAGGTAGGCAGTTCGAATCCCCGTGACGGGGTGAGCTCCCGTTGCTCGGTCCCAGCTCCTGCCAACCTAGCAGTTCAAAAGCACATCAAAGTGCAAGTAGATAAATAGATACCACTCTGGCGGGAAGGTAAACAGCGTTTCTGTGCACTGCTCTAGTTTGCCAGAAGCGGCTTAGTCATGCTGGCCACATGGCCTGGAAGCTGTACACCGGCTCCCGTGGCCAATAAAGCAAGATGAGCGCCGCAACACCAGAGTCGTCCGCAACTGGACCTAATGGTCAAGGGTCCCTTTACCTTTAGTGCCCCCCGCAGCTTTAACATGGGAACACTTGCATTATACCCTTAATAGTTGCAACCTAAGAAAAAGCACAAAAAGCAAGCATGGGGACAGGAGCACAACTCTTTCCATGGCAACAAAAGACCCATGGGAGAATCCACACATTTAAAAAAAGAGAAGATTCGACTCCAGGGTCTCTTCACTCCACAACTGACATTTTGAAACGAATGATACGACATTGCTCTAATGTGCACATTCATATAAATCACTAGGGCAAATGGAAACTGCTCCTATAAGAAATGCTGCCCTTCAACTCTGAACATTCTTTTCCCAATTAACTTTCACAAGAGGGGTGGCAGTGCTGGTGCTTGAGAATAAAATGGATCAGGAGCATATGGAAACTTAAAACTACATTATACTTTGTCTAGACGCCCATAACTGAAACAATTAACCTGACCCCAAAGGTTACACTACTACCTACTGTCATTTTAATAGAGAAATTAATATGGAAATTAAGTTACTCTTTATCTTCATTAAGTGACATGCAGTTGATATAATCCATTATTTCTTTTTCTGCCTATAAAGTCACACAAATAATGAATTAGGCTGACAATGCATAATAAATGAGATTCTTGCCAAAAGATTTTAAATGTCAGAGTTGTGAGATAAAAATGGCTAGCTTAGAAGAGCAGACCCAGCCCAGTGCCAAGTAATCCTTCCATGTATTACACTGGAAAAGCTTATGGTTTTTAATGGAATAAATGTGCTTAAATTAGTTTGGTCTTCATTTACTAATCACACATTGCTTTTGCATTTAAAAAATGCAAAAATTGGTGAACTCTAGAATTTGTTTATAACCACCGACGACTTCATAGTGCCATATTTAAGAACTGTGTTGCTGGGTCAGATAAAAAAAGCCATCTAGTCCCAACATCTTGTTTCCAACAGAAGCAATCTTCCAAGAGCTCAGATAGCAGGTCCACATGCTTGTGCTGAAGATCCTGAGTATGTGTTATGGTTCCTTCCTTCCTTCCTTCCTTCCTTCCTGATGATCTACAGGGTCATCAACCCGTTGCTAATTCTACATAATTTAAAGTTTAGTAGACAATTGATGGTTATGAATTGTATACAACTGTGTCTCTGTAGCCAGGGAATCCAACTGGGTCTCTCTTGTCATGGAAGGCTCTTTGATACAATATGCATGAAGTCTCCAGGGTAGCAGTGGACCTTTTCTGCTGGGTATGTCCCATATTGGGATAGGGTCATGGTGGGGAAGAGTAAGCACTTGTCAGTAAGCACTTTGGCAGAGTCTCAGTAATAAAGACAGAAATAAGACTGATGATGGCATGTAGTGACACTGCAGATAGGTGATATGATGAAGGTGATACAACACAAAGCAGCAGAAGTTTTTGTTTCTCTGGCATCATTGTCCTTTACCAGGTACATAAGAATCAACCAGGAGACTCTTTTCTTTTCCTTTAATAAAAAACCCATTGAATTTACAAAAGAATTACTTCTATAATTCTGGGTGTCTTGTGTTGCACTGTGCAAAAACGTATTGTTTCTTTCAGCTGTATCAGAATTATAATCACGCAGATCCACACTTAAGAAGATCAAAAGAAGATCAAGGTTATTACAGCATATGTTTGATTTGTTCTGAGAATTCCATTGATTTCATTGAAGAAAGGATCATCATAAAGCCAGCTGAAACAAAATAAACTAGAAATGTATTTTAATATGACTGTGGCCCCATAGCACATTTGGCTGCATGCAGTTTCCAATGGTCTTGATGGTAAAGGTATGAGATCAAAATATTTTTTTTATAAACTTTGCAGATATACTTGGAAAAACAAGGTCATAGCTGAATGAAACAAGTCTGCATTCAAATGATATGATTTAAACTACTATGGACTTACATAGATGTTATCCAGGAGGAATCTTCCATTCATTCAGCAATAGAAGTCAGGCTGCGTAAAGGCTATGTAACATTCCTACAAGTAAATCATTTAGTAATGAGGATGTGTACACTCTTGTTCTTCACCAGTTTAACATCTCCCTCTGGACTGGGGAACATGGCCATCCTGCTCATCAGTTAAACGTGTTCTCCCAAGCAGAGAGCACGTGTTGCGGTGGGGGATACAAGCCACCCCAGTGTTGCTGGGCGGATTTGTGGAGTGACCCAGGCAGTGAATTGGTTAATTGGGTTGCTGGGGAGAATTGCTTGGTCGGAATTTTGTCCATTTGGCTGATTGGCTTGTGCCATTTGGTTTTTGCCTACTGCGTAGCAAATCGTCACAACTTGTAAGGTTGGTGGTTAGGCATTGGTTCAAATTGGTTTGGGGCGGGGGTAAGTGCCTACCCCTCCAATGGTGGTGCAGAAAGGGAATTCCGTTAAAGGAATCCAGGGGCTTGCCATTCTTTTCGCCCTTGTCCCTGGCATCAGACTTGGGCCGTGCAAGCCACCAGGAGCATGAGGGTGAGAAGTGAGGGACTGAGGCCCAGCTTCATTTTCTCCCCAAAATTGTTTCCCTCACTGGCTTCCGCTGGAATCCGGAAGTCAGTTCTGTCCCTGGGTAAGGACAGATAGTCGGAACCAATGCCTAAGCAACTACTCACTTGTGTGTATTTAAATAAAGTTCTGGCCAAAAGCATGCCAAAAACCCAAACCAAAATTGATGTGTGATGTGTGAATTATTGGGGGTGGCTTGGGGACCTCGACACGCAATTTCCATTTCTATGTCCATAGCAGCTGTACCATGCTGAGAGGGAACAGATCACCTGCCTCATCTGAAAGAAACCAAAACTAGAAAACTACATGCCACCTTACACTTTATTGTGGGTTTACTAAAGGTAAAGGGACCCCTGACCATTAGGTCCAATCATGGCCAACTCTGGGGTTGCGGCACTCATCTCGCTTTACTGGCTGAGGGAGCCAGCGTACAGCTTCCGGGTGATGGCCAACATGACCAAGCCACTTCTGGTGAACCAGAGCAGCGCACGGAAATGCCGTTTACCTTCCCGCCGGAGCGGTACCTATTTATCTACTTGCACTTTGGCGTGCTTTCGAACTGCTAGGTTGGCAGGAGAAGGGACCAAGCAATGGGAGCTCACCGCGTCGCAGGGATTCGAACCGCCGTCCTTCTGATCGGCAAGTCCTAGGCTCTGTGGTTTAACCCACAGCGCCACCCGCGTCCCATGTGGGTTTACTAGGGTCTTTTAAAATGCCACTTTTTGTGCCAGAGAGTATAAACCTAAATCTTTGTCTTGGCACAGAGTAAACAAGAACGAAATGTAATGAGTCCAAAACCCCATTAAAATGTTGCAGTATGCAAACATGTCTGGACATCTGAAGGTTAATTTTGGAGGACTGCCCCCAGTGACATCTGCTGAATATTCTAAAGCAGCAGTTTTAAAATACTCAGATGTGTATTAAAAGAAGTGAACTCGTGTCTTTCCTGGTAAGATGGAAAACATATCTAAAAGCACATTACATCATAAGTCTTATCTGAAAGTTATGAGAAATTTGCTAAATTTCCCTCTAGATTATGTTTACCTAACAAAATATTGTAGCCCGATATTTTGGTGGTATTTTGTTTCAACTTTAAGCTATGCAAGCATTCAAAATCTTGTCCCCAATTCTAGCACAGAAGGTTTATTTCATAGGTGAGTATCATTATTCACTAAGGCATCTAGGGAGTTCCTGGAAAATTCAAAGGCCACCTGGAACAAATTTAAGCATTTACTGGAATAATATAGTCACCTGTGAATGATAGTTCTGAAAGGTGTGGTGTTCTAGAAATGTGGTTAATGTGCATTTTTAGCAGTCACTCTAGTCTAGCCCCTCATTATCCAACTAAATTTTGCTAAGGCAAAGATGTGTTACACAGGACAAAATAATGCAAAAAGAGAGATTATTAAGCTAATTATTAAGATTTTTCATTACTTGTGTAGTATTAAATGGCATTGCAATTAATTAGAGAAGGCTTGCATGCTTTTCAAGCTCTCTGACATAATTATAATGAGATGCATAACTGGTTTAATGTTATAATTCTTCATAATTCTAACCCCACCCAACACACACATTACTGAATGCAAGGATATCATTCTAAACACCAGTATATTCTAGTATGTTGTGCCTAGCCCTTACCTAGTGCCAGGCATGCAATCCATGGAGGACAGACTGGAAACCCCTCAACGCCCCCCTCAGTCGACTGCTGAGAATTCCCTTGAGAGGCCCTCCAGGTTGGTACCATATGAGGAATACCTGGAACTCTCATAGAAAGGAATGGAGTGGCACCCGAGTCCTTGAGAGCACTGTTGGCAGAAGCTTTAGGTGCAGGTTGAACAACAACAGCATGGTATGTTTCTATAGACTCAGAGTCAGTCTACTTATGAATAAGCCATCCCAGACCCTCCAAGTGTTTTTCAGGGACATCTCTGATACAGAGACGCTGTCCAGGTTTCTGATTTGATCCCAGAATGTCCTACTTTTCCTTAGGATGTCCCTATTTTCATTGGAGAAATGTTGGAGGGTATGGAGTTATCTGACCCCGAAGCCATCTAAAGGCAATCCTGTATAGGGAAGGTTTTTTAATGTTTTATTACGTTATTATATACGTTGGAAGCTACCCAGAGTGGCTGGGGCAACCCAGTAAGATGTGTGGGGTATAAATAGTAAAAAGATTATTATGGAATGGGATGTCCCCTATTTTCATCAGATAAATGTTGGAAGGTATGCTATCCCTGTTACTCCTTCACTGTCAGAAGCTGTGGTCAGGGTTTGGTTTAGGAGGACAGAGCATATAAGGATGGTGTAACCATAAAACTTGTTGTTGTTGTTGTTGTTGTTGTTGTTGTTGTTGTTTAGTCGTTTAGTCATGTCTGACTCTTCGTGACCTCATGGACCATAGCACGCCAGACACTCCTATCTTCCACTGCCTCCTGCAGTTTGGTCAAACTCATGCTGGTAGCTTCGAGAACACTGTCCAACCATCTCGTCCTCTGTCGTCCCCTTCTCCTTGTGCCCTCCATCTTTCCCAACATCAGGGTCTTTTCCAGGGAGTCTTCTCTCCTCATGAGGTAGCCAAAGTATTGGAGCCTCAGCTTCAGGATCTGTCCTTCCAGTGAGCACTCAGGGCTGATTTCCATAAGAATGGATAGGTTTGATCTTCTTGCAGTCCATGGGACTCTCAAGAGTCTCCTCTAGCACCATAATTCAAAAGCATCAATTCTTCGGCGACCAGCCTTCTTTATGGTCCAGCTCTCACTTCCATACATCACTACTGGGAAAACCATAGCTTTAACTATACGGACCTTGTCGGCAATGTGATGTCTCTGCTTTTTAAGGTGCTGTCCAGGTTTGTCATTGCTTTTCTCCCAAGAAGAAACTCCATGGACAAATACAACCATAAAACTAATCTCTCTAAAAAAAGCACTTTGTGAGAGATGAGATTTGTTTTTACAGTGGTACCTTGGGTTAAGAACTTAATTCGTTCTGGAGGTCTGTTCTTAACCTGAAACTGTTCTTAACCTGAGGTACCACTTTAGCTAATGGGGCCTCCCGCTGCCCCCACGCGATTTCTGTTCTCATCCTGAAGCAAAGTTCTTAATCCGAGGTACTATTTCTGGGTTAGCGGAGTCTCTAACCTGAAACATCTGTAACCCGAGGTACCACTGTATTTTCAGGAACTACTGACCTGTTTGAACAACACAGTTTGCTTCTGATCCTGCTGGGCCCTAGTCTGAAGAATTTCCATGTTGTCATCACCACCACCAATTCAGTTATGTTCAACAGAGCCAGCCCAATACATTTTGCTTCCTGAGTGAAGAACAAGATGATACCTTCTCCCATTTATGTGGGAGATAAAGATGCAGCCAAAATAAAATTTCATGTGTTGCTAGATAAGCAAAGGGTTAAGACACATGGAGTACCCCCTGTAAATTCCTGTAGAGGGGACTCACATCCCTTGCAGGAAAAGTAACAATAGGAAAATAATCCTTACTACTTCTTTCCTGTTCAGAGCTCAGTCTTTTTCTTCATCAAGTAACTAAAGAGAGAAGATGCTAGTTCTGTGCTCTCCTGAGTAGAGACTCCATTTTTATCTCAACCATGTGTTTTGTAATCTAGAAGCATATTCTGTCTAATTTATTTTCACCTATGCTTACTGCTGAATCAAGTCAGAAGCTTTATGTGAGTAAAGAATATTTTATATTACAGACTTCTGTGTTATTCATTTTTTTAGAGGAATTAAAAGAGTGAAATTGAGACTACTAAAGCATTCTGGATAATTATTAATAAGGTTAAGCAACCTTAGTCCCATAAGTTTCCAGACTTTATTCTGCAAATAAATGGTAATTTAAAACTTTGCTAACTAGTCATGAAACTCACACTAGTGAGTAAGAGGAAGGGCTAATAATAATAATTAGTATCCTCTTCTTCCCTCCAAATTCATCCAACAATTCTGTGTCCAAAAGCTGCCTAGATTGGCATTCAAAATGACTTCAAGACTGGCACTAGGATAGAGTCCACCACCATATTTCACGGCAGCATGCTAGCTTAGAGTACAGGGCAAGCCACAAAACACACAGCCCTTCCATTAGTGTTTGTTGCCTGAGGCACCTGCCTCACTTTGCCTCCTGGTAAGGTTGGCGGTTTGAATCCCGGCAACAGGGTGAGCTC